ACATCTGCGAGGGAGCCCTGTGCTCGGCCCGACAGGCTGGGCGGGGCTGCCTGAGGCCTTCCGAGCCCCTCTCTCCATGCAGATGTACTCAAAAGCGCATTTTATGAACAGTGTTGGTATAAGCAGGAATACAATCCAGGCTGGATTCGTTAGGGTCCTAGTTCGCATTTTCTCCTGATTACAAATGCAATTCAACTGCGGTGTTTCCGTGGTGCCGGGCGCCATGCCTGCTGTGCCAGCCCGACAGGTTGGCCGACAGGTTGGCCCGGTGCCTGGTGGGATCCAGGGGAGTGCGACTGATGGGTTGGGGCGCTCTGCATGGCTCCCCCGGGGACCTGTGTGCTGCCGAGGCCCAGAACCTGCCCTGGCCTGCTGCGAAGAGCGCTGGGCAGACGCCAAGACGGGGGCTCCACGCCTGGCCTGCCGCTCAGGACCCTCATTCACCTTTTACTCTGAGGTGGGCGGGTGCCCGGAGGATGTCCGCTTCCCTACACACAGGGCAGGGGCTCACAGGCAGCCAGAGTGCCCAGAGCCCCACACCCTGCAGACACACAGACAAACACACTACATGCACTCCCACTCGACACCTGGGGACCCTTGTGTTCCCTCACACGCACCACTTAGGCCCTCAACAAACGACACGTGCAACCCATACACAACTATGGACACCCAGACCTGCACCCCACACTCTAAATCTGGTCTCTAACGGGCAGCAGGCAGAACACAGGAAGGGAGGCATTTTAATCAGGACAACAAAGCAGGGAAGACCAAGCCCACTCAATACCAAGGGGGGCTCTCTATGAACGTGGTGGGGGCAGCGGGTCAGAGCCTCGGCAGCAGGTGACGTCGATCAGGCCCCGCCCCGCCCCGGAGCTCAGCGCTGCGGGCTGGCGAGGGGCGTGGCAGGTTCTTACGCAGAGCAACACCCAGCCCAACTGCCACCAGGGCTCAGAGGAGCATTCTCTTCTCACATTCGAATTTCAGACATGAACAGGAAATGCAAATTGAGGCTTGGGAAAGGACTCTGAAAGGCTGTGTGCCTGTTTACCACACTTCTGCTTTTTTGGTGGTGTATTGTTTTGTGGTACCAGACAATGAACCCAGGACCTTTGCACTGAGCTATATCCCAGCCCATTTTTTTATTTTTTATTGAGATGGGGTCTCATTAAATTGCTAAGTTGCCCAGGCTGGGTTCCAACTTGTGATCCTCCTGCCTCAGCCTCTCTGAGTGCTGGGATCACAGGCGTGCACCATCACACCCAGCTCAGTCTTTGCTCCAGAATCCCTTGCAAACAAAGCAACAGAAACAGCCTTGCTAGCATTGAAAATGACCGTCACGCATCCCACTTTCTCTTCCCAAAATGTCCTCATGGGGGATGGCACAGTCTGTACTGCTCCAGGAAGATGGAATGGTTTTCTGCTGACTGGAGGGGCAGGTAAATACGTGAGCCAGGGCCCATGCCCCAGTCTCTCACCGAAAGCGAGCCTGTCCTTCCTGCTTAGCAACAGGACACGGAGGGCCACTGAGCTAAAGAGGAGAAAAGGTCCCATCGCTGGGAGTGGGCATCCTCAAAAGACAATTGAGCAGATCGAGTCCACCTCAAGAAGGAGAAACACAAATGAACGCGGGGGAATGCGGATGCCACAAACTCTTCCAGTGAAGCCTTCAAGGAAACCTAAGGCTGTCCTCTAGCCAGGGACAGTACCAATGACATTTTTTTGTTGTTTTTGTTTTTTGAGACAGGGTCTATGTAGTTGAGACTGACCTGGAACTCACTGTGTAGCCCAGGCTGGTCTCGAACTCACAGCGATCCTCCTGCCTCAGCCTGCCAAGTGCTGGGATTACAGGCGTGCGCCACCACACCCGGCCAGTGACATGATTTTAGAGAACAAACTGCCTCCTAGCCCGGGCTGCAATTGTTCTGGGGCACTTTTCCTCCTGGAGACGTCGGGCTTTCTCTGGTGTCCACTCCGTCAGCTTCACAGGGAGAGGATGGCAGCTGCCCCCTTACTGCTGCACAAGTGAGCAGTGACCCAGAGCTGAACACCCGAATCTTCAGCCGCTGCACAAAAGTGCCAGCATGTGGCATCTACCTCGTATTTCTCAGGCACAGAAGGAGCCAGGCCCAGGACCTGCGTCCTCTCTGATCAACCAGGAAGCTGAGCTGAGGCAGTCCAGTGTGGCACAGGTCTTCTTGCTTCCAAGCCAGCTGTTGCCATTAGGCTGCCTCAAAATAACTCTTGAATCATATGCCCAAGTTCTCCAGGCCAGGGCTGTTCGAATGGGGATGACTTGAAAGTGTGGCTTTGCAATGACCCATGTCCCTAAGACACAAGCTGAACAGAGCAGGGTATGTGGCACATGCCTGTGATCCCTGTACCACGGGAGGCAGAAGACGGCAGATCAACACTTCCCAGCCTGGGTAACGTAGTGAGACTCTCTCAAAATGCATATAAGAGTGGGGGACATAGCTCCGTGCAAAGGTCCTGAGTTCAATCCCCAGGAGAGAGGCAGAGTCTAAAAGGGAAAAAAGGAGCTGAGGGAGGAGCTCAGTGTATGCACAAGGCTGTTTGATTCCCAGCACCAAAAACAGGGATGGGGGTGCTGAAATAGAACATCTTTTTGTACCTTCAGAGAAGAGTCACAAGACAGTTAAATGTACCATGTTGTACGCCTGGCTGTGACATGTTTTTTTCCTTTTAATCTCTCTGAGCCTCAGCATCTTGTTTAAAAACTAAACAAAACAAAACTTAAAACTATTCCTGCTCTTTGGCCTTTGCTGTGTCTACTTCCAATTCACTCCAGGGCCTGTAAAACAGACAAGTCACTGTAAACACCAGAGTCATAACGGCAGCAGATAATTGTAATAAGAATCCAGCGTGCAACTCAGGATTCTCCAAGTAAAATTCCAACGTCTAGATTTACTCCTAACAGACAGCCTGAGCCCACAAAGTCCGAGGAGGCTTTTTAATACCCCAGACACGCCAGGCCTCCCCCAGGGAGACAACTGAGCCAAATTGTAAGGCTATGGAGAAGCCCTGGATAGCAACGGGAAAGCCAGTTGTCCCCCAGAAACGTTTTTAAAGCAAGGCCACGGTCAGCAAGGAGCCGGTCACGGGCTGAGAGTCGGCTTAGAGCGGTCAAACCTGCACACTTTGTAACAAGACACATGCCAGCACTTCTTACAATGGTAAAAGGTGCAACTCCTTCTGGTTTGAAATTGGCAAAATTCTCCTGAGGTCCAAGGAGGTGCGTGAAAGCCTTTTCACCAACTTGACTGTGATCCAGGGTTTGCAATCGGCAGACTCTGAAGGGGCCCCCCAGACAATAGTAGAGTAAGAAAGTCTTTTAATTTGCAAAAATACATGATTGTGTCTGTACTCTGGACATTCCGATGGCACGTCCGATGAGAATTTCATACTCCAGGAATCTGACACTCAAGTTCCACATAATAAATACCTTACGGTCCCCAAAATGGCCCTGCTTTGGGAGACTCTGCATATGTAATTAATAACAGCTTGAGACCATTCACATACCACCATCTGAGCACAAACGCTAAGGAGGCACAGCTCTGAGTTTTGTCAAAGGAAGAAAAACCATCCCATCGGGATCCTGTGAGACCATCAGTTAGGGTTTCAGTGACAATGTGAGGGACACCAAGATGACACTGTTTTCCTGCACCTTCCAAAATGCAACTGTCATCAGGTAGGAAGGAGGCGGGTGCTGTGGACACTCCCTGCGCGTTACAGTACCCCTTCCAGCCGCCCGATCAATGAACAAAGCATGTTTTGTTCGGAGAATGAATGGCAACCGCTTTCTTCTGTGCATTTGATTAGAACTTGAAAGCTGTGGCTTGCTGCCATCCACAACGCCTACAGGGTTCCAGCAGCCCAGTGTTCAGACTCGTTCGCAAGCAACATCGGGGGACATTCAGCAAGTCTGAAGTTTGTGTCCTGAAGGATTTTCTGCCATTACAGAGCAAATAAGGGTCCTTTGTGGCAACGCCTGGAAAAACAATGCGAGACGTTTCTTCACACCAGAATTGATAAATAGTTCACCGAGTGAACCAGGCTTTTATTTCTGAAAAGCAGGTAACACCAAAGTACTCTACGGTATCCATAACTCACTGCAAAAAGTAATTACTGGCACTTCCAAAACACCAGTGAACAAAGCTGAATCAACGGTTATAAATTTCAACCAATAAACAGATTTTTGCTCAAGGTTTAGGTTGGATTTCTACATGGGTATTCATTCATAGGAGTTGCCTGTGCCAGCTGAGTTTCAAAACGGGGCCTCCACAAAGGCAAGCCCAGCTCTGACTCAATTTCAGCAGCCACCCTAGACCTCTGGCTGCAGCCTGAGTTGCAGAAATCACGCTGCTCTTTATAACAAAGGGTAGCTCTGGAAAATAAAGTCCGACTTTATACTCCTTTAAGATGCTTCTGGTGCCCCAAACACTGAGCACCTGGACGGGCCCAACCAGGGTTCCCCCCTCACTCTGCTGGGAGCCCCAGAGGAGCCCCATTTTCAGAGGCTCTTAAGAACCACACTAAACCCATGGAAAGGCAATGAAAAAATTATCCATTTATTTTTCTGTGGAAAAAAAGAAAAAGGGGAGCCAGGCACAGTGATAAGCATGTGAAATCCCAGCTACTTGGGAGGCCAAGGCAGAGGGGTCGCTCGAGTCCCACAGTTCAAGGCCAGCCCGGGTAACACAAGATCCTGTCTTAAACCAGGCAAAAACAAAGTGTGCACTGACAAATGGGGGAACGATACCCATCATCTGGTTACAGAAAACAAGTCTGTAAAACCCTCCTTTCCAAATTAGGCTCAAATGTGTTTAAGACCAAAAGGAGGTCAGGAAAGCTGTTAATACTATCAGCCATTAAAAAAAATAATAATAATAATCCCTTCATATAAAGTGGAGCTGAGGATCTGAAAGAAACAAGGGAAGGCAGAACAATGATAAAATCCAGACCTAACTTTCTTTGCTTTTGTATTTATGACCTCATGGATCTATCTGTGTCCAGTGGGTGTTAATATCCCTTCCTTGCACTTGAAAGAACATTAAGAAATTAAAGTGAGCTTGAGTGCCAAAAAAGTCTGCAATTGCCAGGGATTTAGCTCAGTGGTTCCACCGCCTGCCTTGCAAGCACAAGGACCTGAGTTCAATCCCTGATACCCCAAAAAAAAAAAAAGTCTGCAATTACAGAATCTAAGAGGCAAACCCATACAGTCTCTAAGGCAAGATTTTTGTCATGAGGCGTGAGAGGACAGGATGACAGGCGCTACAAGCTGCTTCAGCCGAGGGCCAGGCACAAGAGTCTCAAAAATAAGGCAAACTGTGGCTTCTCAGTAGGAGACCAACAGAAGGGCCCACTGAGGCCGGAAGGCAACTCACTGGAGGATATCAGAGGGGCGGCGTCACAGTCAGGGCGGCCTTGGGGCCGTGGGTAGGCAGGAAACCCTTGAACCCACACTCAAGGTCCACGTCTCTGCATCGCCTGTACATCTCTCCAAGCAGCAATTTCTGGGGTTCGGAGGTTCGTTACTTTTGCGACAACCGCCCCCACCCCCCAAAAGAAGATATGAAGGTGGAGAGATGGGACCGCTGGAGGCGAGCCTGTTCCGGGGCGGGCTGGGTGAGATTCAGGCAACTTCCTGCAGCTCGCAGCAGCTCTCTCCGTGCCTGGCCATGTCCTACAAGCGCTTGTAGGTGCCCAGGAGAGCTTTGCAGTTGGGACAGTAGTGGTCCACGTCCTGCAGGGCGTCCACGCAGAAGGGGATGAAGCAGCAGCCCAGGATGCACCTGGGAGGACAAAAGGTCACACAGGGACCACGTTACCCACCGCGACAGCTTGGATGGTGCCCCCCAAAGCCCCACGTCCACGTTCTAACTCAGAACCTGCAGATGTGACTCGACAATGTGATCAAAACCTAGGAGGATCGCTGAGAGTTCGAGGCCAGCCTGGGCTACATAGTGAGTGCAAGGTCAGCCTGAACTCACCCTGTCTTCAAAAAAAAAAAAAAATTTTTTTAATTACAGTAAAAAACGCATTACTACTAATTTCCTCAAAATTATTCCCCTTGCTTCAAACACTTGTCCTATCTTTCTTGCCATTCTCTCAAGCAGGTCTGGAAGTCCTCTTTCATGAGTGTCTTGAAGAGAAGTGATCAAAAAGTACAGTGAATGCGGGAGCTGACTGCTGATTGTACTGTGTCTTCATCTGGCTATTATTATTATCATTATTATTAGCTCCTATTATTATTATTTGGTACCGGGGATCAAGCTACGGTTCTTGTGCTTGCGAGACAGGTGGCAGAACCACTGAGCTAAATCCCAGCCCTCCAGCTTATTATTATCCAGATCTGGCACCTGTAACTCCCAGCTGTTCCAAGTCAAAGGGACCGTGAAAGATCATAGCATCAATGCAGGACATTGAGGCAGCCACGACAGCACCACTAGAGGCCCCTCACAGCAGCTCTTGGAAAATTAAGACCCCACTGAGTCCACAAGAAGGACTAACACACTGCAGATGTGACCCTACACCTGTCACACAGACTGTCCCGGGTGTATTTTGGTATCTGAGGTCATTTGAGCATCCTTTAGAGTCTTAGATCAGGGTTGGTAAAAAAAATTCTTTTTTCTGGATCAAACTCAGGACCTCGGGCTTGCAAGGCAGGTGAAATGCCACTGAGCTAAGTCCCCAGCCTAAGCATTTTTCTGAAAGGCTGCAGAGTACATATTTTAGTTTCAATGGGCCAGGCGGGCTGGGTTTTAACTGTGCGATCCTCCCCTTGTGACAGCTGTAGAGAATTCCTAAAAAGGTATGAATTCCTTAATAGGTGTGGCTGGGCTCCAGGAACACTCAACCAGGTGTGGGCTGCACGGAACCTGGGGCCATAGCTGATAGGCCTGTGTCTTCAGATCTTCCTCGGAGAAGCTGCTGCTCAGAGCAACCGAGCTGAGTCCCCCACATGACAACGCCTTCGCTACGCCATCCACACACTCAGGCAAGATCATCATGCATCCCGGGACCGGCGCTGTGACATGCAGGTCCCAAAACGACAAGCACTGAAAGTTCCACCACTATGAGGAATTTCGATCCACAGACAGACAGTGGAGTGGTGGTTGCCGGATCACCGAAAATGTAGGTAAAATTCAACACTTTTACAGGGAGGTGCCGAGTCACATAAGGCAGAATCTAGAGCTATTCTGATGAGGAAACGGTCTCGTGAAAGGCATTTCCTCCTCGTGTGTGAGCTTACCAAGTTCAAATCCAGGCAGCACTTCATACACTCACTGACCTTATCTTCCTTCAGTAGCCATGAGGTTAAAGATGGGGAAAAACAAAAGCACAGAGACGAAGCCACTTGCCCACGGTCACACAGCTAGAGTGAGGAGATCAGAGCCCACTCCATCACAGTTAAGGAGGGGGACAGGAGGGGCACAAAGACTGCTCCATTTCTTCTTCTTCTTCTTCTTTTTTTTTTTTAGACAGGGTCTGGTCTCACCATGTAGTTGAGACTGACCTGGAACTATGGAACTACGTAGGTCTTGAACTAACAGCAATCCTCCTGCCTCAGCCTCCCCAGCGCTGGGATTACAGGCGTGTGCCACCACACCTGGCTTAAGGCTGCTCCATTTCAAAAGCCAGATCAGCAGAGGCTAACCTGCACTATTCCTTTGTATTCTATTTTTCCCTGATTTCAAAGATAAAAATTAGCTTTAATATAAATATTCAAAGGTAACGAATTTGTATTTCACCTTTTCTGGCCAGGAAATAAAAGCAACAGCCTGCACTCGAGGCTATGGGCAAGGCAGGGAATCAGGTGCCAAGAAACCTAGCTAAATCACCTTTGGCCCCACTTAATGGTGACCTCCAAGAAGCTGACAGGTGATCTGGGCTTTTGAGCCCTTCTCTGAGGGAGGAAGAGAAATATTGTTCTTTCCCGACCTAACATCACAGGCTCACGAAGACGAGGCACGAGCCGGTCCTCAGGAGCAAAAGGCTCCTGCAGAGAAGCTTACAAACCCTGTTTCCTCCAAGGCAAACAACGGAGCCAAGGTTCAGAGCAGACCCCATGGCCAGGAGGAAGGCGCCTATCATTACCTGCTTGGGAAAAAAAAATTCAATCGCGTTTCCTCACATTTCTCTCCCAGAGCAGAAAAGATTACCTCTTTAAATACAACACCCTCGGGGGCTGGGGATTTAGCCCAGTGGTTCTGCCACCTGCTTCGCAAGTGCAAGTTCCCGCGTTTGATCCCCAGTACTCCCCCAAAAATATATAATATAATTCCCTTAGTACAGACACAAATATTTATGCAACCCCCCCAAAAGAAAATGGCAAAGATACTTGAGGTCATAAAAGGATAAGAAGTTTGGAAGAGATTACTATGAAGCATGTTAATGTACAGCCTGTTTAAAGCTTCCCTCGGGACATTACTATGTAGGCCCTGAAATTCTAGGAGGGAAAGAAACCCTAAGGGTACCACCCTCCGTGCAGGTGGGTGGCTGCTCTGCCTGTCCCCACACACCAGCGAGAGACCAGGCAGGGCAAAAAGAAATGAGGGGCACTGGGTTCCAGGTGCCCATGTGCCTACGAGCAGGGTTCTCAACTGGGAGGACTCTGCACCCACATGGGGAGCGCGGGTTACAACATGGGAGGGGGTTAGAGGCGTCTGTCTGGTGGGTAGAGGCCAGGGACGCTGAAAGACATCTACACCAGGGGCTGGGATGTAGCTCAGAGGTACAGTACTTGCCTAGCATGCACAGGCTCTGAGTTTGATCTCCAGCACCACCAAAATAAATACTCTACCATGCGTAGGACGGTCCCCACCCAAGGAAGTCCCCGCGCTGAACATCCATTCTGCTGCAGCTGGGAACCCCTGTAGGGCCCAAGAGGGCAGGCCGTGCACTCACCCCAGGAGGCACAGGCTCCCGCAGGACAGCCAGGTGAGGGCACCAGCATTGTAGGACAGCCTAGTCACGATCATCTTGTTGCAGGAAGGACAGCACATCTGGATGGGGCGGTCAAAAAAGGACACGGGCTGCTGCACGAAGACAGTCTGAACTGCTGTGAAAAAGGAAAGAGAAATGCAGCTCTGTAAACAAGGAAGAGGAGTTCAGTAAACCACAGAGACAAAAGAACAAGGCCTCCAACAGCCATTCCCAGCCGTGCTGGGCCAGGCATGAGGATAGCACACACCCGTAACCTCCAGCATCCTGGGAGGCTGAGGCAAGAGGACTGCAAGTTCAGCAACTTCATGAGGCCCTGTCTGGAAATAAAAAACAAAGGCTGGAGAAGCGGCTCTATGCGAAGGCCCTGGGTTCAATTCCCATTACAGAAAAGAAAAGAAACACCACCACTGGTTCGTGACAGCCAAGTGGCCACCTACAGATGAATGGAGAAATAAAAGTGTGGTTCTATCCACACAGTGGAGCATTATTCTGCCTCAAAGAGGAAGGAAATCCCGATGCCTGCTACCATGTAGGAACCTTGAGGACATACCACTGAGCGAAATGAGCCAGTCGCAAAAACACAGGCATCGCCTGACTCCACTCAAGGGTCCCTAGAGCAGTCACAGATACTGCAAACTGAATGGTGGGCCAGGGTCTGTGGGGAAGAGCAGGAGATGGGGAGAGGCTGGGTGCACCTCGTGGGCAGATTCCACAACCACAGGATGTGGGGCTGCTCCGCAGCTCTGAGCCAGCAGGTCTGGGCCCTGCTCCCCAAACTGCCTTTCAGGCCCTTGAGGGGTTCCACTCGGGTGGTCCACGGAAAATAAACGGAGGAACAGCGAAGGGGTGGATTTCAGCCCCAATGTCTGTAGCCACAGATTAGTGGTTACCAGGAGGAGGGAGGTGAGCTGGTTACAGGTACGCAGCTTCGACATTACGGAATCAGATGGGGGTGGTCGATAGGCTACCCGGACCTGAGCTTCAGGGTGTGAAGTTACGGAGTTAACAGAGTTCCTGGGAAGACCGACGTGAGGGCTCTAAGCAGCCTAGTCCGCTGGTGTCACACAGCCTCCTGTAGGGGCCCCCTGAGGGCAGAGCTAAGGAGGCAGGAGAGGCACACCCAGCCCTGGAAGACAAGGCTGTCCCTACACACAGCGAGTGTACAAACTAATGAGGAGGTGGAGGGATGTGCGAGCAGGTACGGGTACCACGATCAAGTCGCTCGAGCTCGTGTTTTCTGTCACAGTGACTCCCTTCCGCTCCTTTTCGGTACGTTGTTAGAATGCCATTCATGTAGCCTATGTGTTGGGGGGATTCACTGCTGCCCAGAGCTACCGAGCTCAGTGACACCCACAGAAACAGTCCTCCCACTAAAGCAGAGCTGAGGCATACTCGGGCACTAACATGTAAGTTGTGGGAAGGATTTCCTGGTTTAAGAATAAGTTATTCAAGTGTAGGGGATGTAACTCAGTGGCTCTGTGCTTGCCTGGCAAGCGCAAGGTCCTGAGTCTGATCCCTGGCACCAAAAAATAAACAAATAAATAAAGTCTACAGTTATTCTCTCATTTTCCTCCAAACCTTCAAGGGGTCAAACTGAGCCCAGCCAGTGCTGGCGCTGTCTGTGCTTGGCGTCAGGAACAGTATCTCATCTAAATAATCCCAGGAAGCAGGCAACGGCTGAGTCCTATTCCACAGACAGGAAAACTGAGGCACAGGAGGTCATGTGAACAGTCTGATACAAACATAAGCTCCCATTCCCCAGTTCCCCTAGGACAGCTAGTTGCGCCCAATGTGACTAGGGTGACGTAGGAAAGTCCCTAAATTATTTCTTCCATCCCTTTTAGCTCTATTTTGTGACAGGGTCTTGGTAAAATGCCCAGGCAGGACTCAAACTTGTGATCCTCCTGCCTCAGCCTCCCAAAGTGCAGGGATTACAGTCAGGCACCACCACACCTCTCTCTAAACCATATTTTGTTATGGAAAACCCACGGGCCTCACCGACGTGAAATCTGAAGACTCTGAAATTTCAGGGTGAAGGCTGAGGTGGTACCGCCCACACTCCGGTCATCCCTGACTCGAGTCCTCAGGCCAGGGTGGAGATGAGGGAGACTGGGGTGGGAGGAGAGGCCCCACTTACTTGTGTTGGCACTGGGGTTGAGGATGGGCATTGGCTGGGTGTAATACAAAGGAGGGTTTGCGCCCTTCCCATCCGGGCCTGTCATGAGCCCCGTGGTCGGTCCTGGCCCCGGGGCTGGAGGCGCTGGCATGTAACTGTGAACTCCCACTGTCTCTTCATAGGATGGGGGCGCAGTGGGCACCGAGGAAGGCCCGGGGGCTGCCTGGTAAGGTCCTGGAACCGACATGTTACCTACAGCAAGAACAGAACACACCGGTAAGAAATTCACTCACCTGCTCTGCCCACCTTTAACCTTTCCTTTCCCCTCTGAGAAAAGGATAGAACCAGCCTCATCCACAAGTAAGGAGGGGAGGAAATGCCCCTTCCAGACCCAAGAATGCTCATCTTAACAGAAGCTTTCCTAAGTAAAGATAAAAAGTAAACAGCCTCCCACATCACCCAAACCCAGGAGAGACATCAACCAAATTTGAGCAATTTCTTCTTCAGACCACAAACCAGGACCCAACAAAATGTTCTTTTCCCACATCCAGCACTTCTTCTTTTTTAAGCCAGTGCAGTTTTCACTTGCTGTGCCGGGGGATGGAAATGACAAGAGTATTCAAAAACCAACCACAAACTACTGAGAATAAAGTGTGAGCAAGAGCAGCCCGGACGCGGGACTGTGAGCCAAACACTGGGCTGAGACACTGGGAGAGGGCAGGCCATTGGCTGCAGGGGGAAGTCTCGGAGGGCTCGGAGGTGCTCTGCAGGGGTCTCCAACCTGGGGGCTGATTTCATGGATTTGTTCACTTTATGAAAATGAGTTGTACAGTTGAGACGTGTGCCCCTTTTGGTCGTGTACGCTACAGTTTTTTAAAAAGTAAACATGCATAGCCAGGTGTGGTGGCAAACACCTGCAATCCCAAACCTCCAAGGAGGCTGAGGCATGAGGATCGAAAGTTCAAGCCCAACCTGGGCAACTTTTGGAGACCCTGTCTTATGATTAAACACTAAAAGCCAGGCGTGGTGGTGCACGCCTGTAATCCCAGCACTCGGGAGGCTGAGGCAGGAGGATTGCTGTGAGTTCGAGACCAGCCTGGGCTACATAGTGAGTTCCAGGTCAGTCTCAACTACATAGTGAGACCCTGTCTCAAAAAAACCAAAAAAAAAAAAAAAAAAACTAAAAAGGAGGGCCGGGGATTTAGCTCAGTGGTGGTGCCACCGCCTGTCTCGCAAGTGCAAGGTTCCAAGTTCGAGCCCCGGTACCCAAAAAAATAAATAAAATAAAACCAAAAAACCAAAAAGAGTCAGGGATGTGACTCAGTAGCAGAGCACTTCTGAACATGTGTGAGGCCCTGGGTTCCATACCCAATACCTCTAAAGGGGTTGGAGGGAAAGGAAGCAGACAGATCCACACTCATTCTCATCTGGAAGTGAGTCTGGGAGCAGCTGAGAAGCTGGGCACTATTTCTTCTGCGAAGGTAAAGAAGTGGTTTTCCTCCTCGGCACAGCCTCTGCCTGTGTAAAATTACAGCCCATGATCTGGTGTGTTCCCGCCTGATGCTGGCACGCAGTGGCCACTGGGCAGCTGGAGAGGACACAGTGGTGTCCTTTGTGTGGCTACATCTCCTGCTGCGACGGGAGAGAGAACCAGGAAACGAGGGCCAGGGCAGTGTGCAGGGCAAGGCTGGGACACCCAGAACTTCTAGAGCCAGAGGAGCAAGGAGCCCGGCTGCAGGGAGAAGGGGCTCCTCTGACAAAGCTCAGCCTGGGGACCGAGGAAAGAGGCAGGGAAATTAGCCTGGGCTGGGACCTAGGAAACTGCCGAGTCCCCGAGGAGCGCTCCGCTCAGACTTACGGCCCTGAGATGTCCAGCAGAACCTCTGGGGTGATAAACAGGACCCCCGTCTGCACTTCTGGGGCACGGCCAGCAGTCACACGAGGCTGCTCCGTACTTGACAGGTTGCGAGTGCAGCTGAGGATCTCAGCGTTTTTAAATCTGAGTTTAGGGAATTTAAATTTTAAAACTGGGGCTGGGGTAGAGCTCAGGGTAACAGCACTTGCCTAGCAAGCCTGAGGCCCTCGGGCTCAAGCCATAGCACCGAAACAAAAAACAAAACCCTAATAATTCAACTCTCGATACGCTTGTATGTAAGCGTTGGGACAACATGGGTACATGAACCTAGATCTGCAACAGTAAATCTGATGAACTCTGACTATGGACCAAAATGTTTTTGATAAAAAATGTAAAAACCAGTTGGACACAGTGAGATATACCTGGAAATCTTAGATACTAGGGAGGCTGAGGCAGGAGGAATCCAAGTTCGAGGCCAGCCTGGACAATTTAGTGAGACATGGTCTCAGATTCTTTAAAGTTTTAAAAAAGGTGGGGGGGTATAGTTCAGTGGTAAGAATACTTGCCTAGCATGTGAGAGGTCCCAGCTTCCAGCCCCAGCAAAAGAAGGAAGGAAGGAAGGAAGGAAGGAAGGAAGGAAGGAAGGAAGGAAAGAGAGAGAGAGAGCAAGAAAGGAAGGGAGGGAGGAAGAAAGAAAAGCCTGGGAGAGGATGTCAATATAAACAAAATTCTCCCTGGACTTTGAAAACTTAGTATGAAAAAAATTGATGTAAAATATCCTGTTAACAATTTTATAGTGGTTATGAGAAATGATCCTGGTTTAGATACATGAACTTAAGTAGTTCTTCCCCTCAAGAATTGAAATTAGGACCTTGTGCTTGCCAGGCAGGCACGGTGGAGACCAACCGGCTACATCCCCGGCCCCTATGAAAAATATTCTTAAAGTTAATGTCACCTCTTGCTTCATGCCTTTTACAATGGAGCTATTAAAACTTAAAATGACCTCGCAAGCTCTCCTTCTGGTTCTCCTGCACGTCACGCTGACAACGGGAGCCACAGAAGGTTGTAGAGGAAAGGAAAGGTCCCAGCCCAGACAGGACAGCTGACAGGTCTGTGAAGGAAGGAGAAACTGTCCCCTCTGCTAGGTAGAGGGGAGAAGAGGGTGTTGAGTCCCAGAGATGGACGGAGCAGGGAGGGAAGGGGGTTTCGCAAGATCACAAGAGACATCTGTGAAAACCGGTTCAGGGTTGAAAATGCGATGAACTGTGAAAAGTGGCTGGGTGAGCCATCAGTTTCCTCTGACCCCAGGAACAACAGGCAGAAGAGAGCCCACAGTCCTCCACGGCGATCCCTGCTGGCTCAGGCCTGTCCCCGCCCTCTGCTCTGGCACCAGCAGGGCACTCCCAGCCCAGGGACTACGTGGCCGCCCTGCCCTCTGCCGTCACCGACGTGTGTGACACATGTGCCACACGTCAGGACCACACCATCCTGCCTGTTTCAGGAAGACGGACCCAGACCTGCCTACGCACTCAGGACAACTGCGTCACACAAACTATTACAGGCCTAGGAAACAGGCCGTGGGTGTCTTGAGAGCCTTGCTTTTAGTCAGTCACATAAACACATCTATAATTCTGAAAGAAACAGAGCCAGGCCAGGAGAGGAAAAACAAAACCTTAAGCAGCTGGCTTGAAAGTTTTCTAAATTCCCTCAGGCCCTGAAGGCGGGAAATGCCACTACAGTACCTACTTTCCCATTTACACTGAGCCCTGTGTCTTTTTCCCTCCCTTGCCCCCCTTTTTAGTTTGGCTCTCCCTAAGGCAGCGGAGGCCTACTTACCACCCGCTCCTCATCACCCCTCCACAGTGAAAGCCTCGCTCCACCACACACACCTCCAAAAGCTCAGGCCACCTGGGTGCGGAGCAGGTCCTAGCACAAATTAGAATGAATGTTGCCCGTTTATCCGGAACAAACGGGAAGCCGCAGGAAAGCGTTTCTGAGTTTATCAAAACAGCAAAGCTAGCTCGGTGACCTCAGTGCAGGCCTGCAGGACCCCTCTGGTAGCCCCAGGGGGGCTGGGCGGTCACCCCGCTGATCCTGATCCTCAGGCAGTCCCTGTAGTGTCTGGGTTGTCAGAGCGACTGGGAGCTTTGTGGGGGAGATAAAGGGGTGCCCAGGGGGCTCCTTCCTCCCTCCCAGTTGTTTAACAAGACCCCGCCAGTGGTTTTCTACTGTTCCTCTAAAAGAGGGCTCACTGAAGGAGATTACTGCACCACTTTCCACCCACCTGCAAAGCCTACCAAGACAGTACAAAGGGTGGGGAGCTTCTGTTTTCCCCATTTCAGAAGGACTCTTGCATTAGCTGTTTCCAGATTCAGAGAGCGGGATTCTCTAACTATGGAAAATGAGATGGGGCCGGCTTCACGGCGTGTGACCCAGGCAGCTGCCTGCATTCAGAAGGTCCCCGCACTTGGGGCCATCCCGACAGTCCACGCACGTTCTGTGCTCCTCCCACACATCCTCACTGCATGCGAGCCCCAAAATCAAGACAGCCAGATAGATGTGACCGCGGGCCGCAGAGGAAAGGGAAGCAGCTCAGACTCGAAAATGGCTTCGACCCCGAAAACGGCCATAGCCACCGCCAGCTGTGTGATCTGGGTCTGGCTTCCTCCACGGCAGACAGAGCCGGGTGGGCCTCTGAGGTCCCTTCTGGGGGACACTTCTGTTCTCAAGGTGGGCAGGGAGGGGCTGACAGCTACTGAGGGCCTGTTGAGAAGGCAGAGTGTGTCTGGGTCAGGGTCAGGCCAGGTGTGGGGGACAAATGGTTCCTCCAACGGCCGGCAGTCATCCCTTTGGTGCGCCTAGCTGCTCTGCGCGCTGGGACAGCAGTCGTCGGAGCACTGATTAAGCGTTCATCGACCAAGTCCCGGTGTCCCATGCATCTGGCAGTCTCTCCAGGGAAGTCCAAGTCTGTTCCAGGACAACCTCAGGGGCCACCTCGGGCAGAGGGAGGCTGCCCAGCCCCACCCTGTCACTGGGTCACTGCCTGGTGTCACCACATTCCAGACCCACGTCCTGGGCCCAGCCAGTCAGTATGCTGGAGGCCTCACTCCGCAAGGACAGGAGAGTGCCAGGCCACACCAGGGAATGCAGGTGGCCTGTGGAAGTCTTCACCGGGCACTACTCTGAGTCCGACGGTTTTGAGCAAATCTAGTACAGTATCAATCTCTGTCACTACTCCCCCACCTGGATTCACAAATGCAGCCAGAGAAAGCCTGTAGGACACGTCCTTTCCTGTAACAGGATGTGAAATTCACCCTCTTGCATGAGTCATCAAGACTGGAATCAGAGGCCAGGGATTTAGCTCAGTGGTTCCACCACCTGCCTCACAAGCACAAGGACCTGAGTTCAATACCCCGTACAAAA